CAGACCTACAGAGATCGTCAAAAAATTAAATGGAATAGAGCCTGATATAGATTTAGACTGAAATGCAGACTTACTTAAATTCAGTGGTACTTCTAAGTCCCAATGATATAAGAGATTGGACTGGATGGCCCCTCTGGACTTTTCCAACTCTATGATTCTAAGATTTTAAATATTTGTACAATTGTGCTTCATTCTCAATAAAATCAGTGGAAATTAATGTTTATCTAATTTTCCCCATTTATCAATGAAAATTGCATGCAATCTTACCCATACATATTTGGGGATAAGTCCAACTGAATTCAAAAGGATATACTACTAGTAGTCTGGATCTAACTCAAACTTAAGTTCAGTTTATAATCTGCCAATGAAATTATGCATATACCTTCCAGGAGAAGGCATTCTAAAGATGTGGAGAACAACTGAAAATCCCCTTTTTCTTGTGCAGTCCATTTTGATGGTGTCAGGAAAATATGGCCTTTTAGTATTCAAGAATGTGATAATCTACATGAGTGTAAAGACCTGCAAAAGACAATGTGTCTCTCTGTCAGCATACAGTGTTCTGAGCTAGAAATTGTGACTACAAAATAACAAAAGGTCAAATCTTACATCCAGGAATTATTTGAGAATCCTCATACTTCAAGATCCCAGAATGGAGCTATGACATGCCAACCTGTCCCCTGTAGCTCCAAAAATTGCCATTTTTACATCACCTTTACCTGTACAAAGATAAATGTATTTTCTTTTGACAAAGTTGTCAAGTCGTGTCCAACTATATGGGGTTGTGCTCATCTCCATTCCTAAGCCGAAGAGCCAGCATTGTCAGAGACTACTCTGTGATCATGTGGCCAGCATGATTGCACAAAACACTGTTTACCTTCCCATCAAAGTGATATCTATTTAGCTACTTGCATTTGCATACTTTCAAACTACTAGGTTGGCAGAAGCTGGGACTAGTAATGAAAGCTCATCCAATCATGCAGCATCTGGGCCTTGAACTGCCAACTTGCCGATCTTGCAATCAACAGTCAGCATCTTAACCGCTTGAGCCACCGTGTAAGGGACATCTACTTAAGTCAAATTAAGCTCAATGTTACTTAGAGATTTTCTTCAGCTGCTTCCAGATGGTTGAATGTCAGCTGGATACTCTTGTCTGGATTTAAAACAGTAGTAATGACCTGTTTCTTCCAGCAGGCTTCTCGAAATTATTATTAAAATATGAATTGTAAAGTGTTAATTATTTTAATGCATATTAGTTTTATATGCTCTTTTAACTGATGTTATATATTTTATCTGTTGTAGTTCCCAACCTCAATCCATATAGAGAGGTAGATAATAAATAACAGTAGTAATAGTTACTATTATTATGTATTATGGAAAAGACAGATTCCCATTTATCAGCTGTTTGATTGTGCCTGTCACAAATATTAAAAGATGTAGAACATATTCACATTTTTTTTCTTTCTCAACACATTTAATCACTTAGTGTGGGGAGAATCAATTGTTGCAAGACATTTTTTTTACTCTTGTTAAACTTGTTAAACTTGGGACTCCCTCCCATATTTGTTGGTTTTATACATTACAACAATTTTGCACATGCACACACACACACACACACACACACATTTTGTGTAATGTTTTTGCACACAAATGATGTTTATGCAAAAACCTTGCATTTACACACAAAATGTATTTTTGAACAAAAAAACCCAACTCAAAAAGTACCAAAAAGGTGATGGTGGTGGTGGGGGCTTTGAAAACCTCATGATTTCAGCCAATAGGATTCCTGTATATGAGAATGAAGTATATTAATTTATCTCTCTAGTATCTCTCTCTCTCTCTCTCTCTCTCTCTCTCTCTCTCACACACACACACACACAGACACAGGCAGACTTGAAAAATGTGCATAAAGTGGGTAAAATAATTGGATTGCTATTAATTGGAGTATTGGGATGACACAATTCAATATACTCAAAAAGAGGGCTAAAGTGCCCACACTACTTGCTTGTGAGCTCCCATCAATATGCAAACTTGTTAAAATTTTGACTCATAATGTGACTTGCTTAATGCAGTCTGCTTACCTCTGCCTATTGACATAATGTCTCCATTAAGTTAAATAAGCAGAGTTAAACAGACTATGGGCTGAAAAATGTCTGCTGGGGTTAATATAAACCCATACCAATGACCCTTGAGAGAACAAAATTGTTAGCTCACAGGAGTCCTAAATACATGTAGTCAGATTTATTGATAAATTCTAGTACAGTCTCCCTTCCTCTAAGCAAAGTACATGCCAATGTTTCCTGCAAAATACACTGACATTCATGTCTGCACTACAGACTGTATCTCTATCATCTGCTACATTTGCTGAAAGAGACTCTACTGCAGAAGTATATATGTCTGTCTCTCCCCAATTCCACAAAATATATAGTTATGAGTTATGCTCAATAAATACCATTATTAGACTTTGACACATAAGACAATAAATATATCTGTTGACAGAGTCTGCACAAACTGCTAAGGAAGCATTTGGACAGGTAGGGCTGTGATCTGGATCCTTTGTCCATCTTGGAAAAAGCCAAGTCTAATTCTAAACTGCAAACTGGGCATTCCCTCATTACTTTCCTCCTGCTGGTAATGACTTAACTGTCTTGTTTACCTCACTGAATAGATACTGTGCCAAACAGGTTCAGACTGGTACATGCCTCCCCCCCCCCCACATTATGAGGTATTGTGCAGCTTGCAGAGATCTCCAGCAAACCCATCTGGAATTTAAAGATGATAAATACTTATAGTTGATTGTCTTTGTCTGGTGTATGCGACCCATTGTCTCTACTGCTCAGATCACTTACGGGTCATTAATAGAAACTGAAATGCATGTTCACCTCTGCCCTTTTGCAAACACCTGTTTAGGTCATGTTTTGCACCATCCCGAGGTGTTCCATTCACTTGTGGGAGTATGGTCCCCAAGTTAGGAAGAGGTTAAAAGATAGACACAGAGAATCTTTCTTTTTGACCTGAGCAAATTGAACATGCAATGACATTGTGCATGCATTATACTGCATAGAAATGTGCATCCATTTGCACATTTGTTATCGTAGTTCAGTTGCAAAAAATGCCATTCAGAGCAAGAGTTGCATAGCATAATTAATGTGTGATGCTAAACACAAATATCTATATTCAATAACAGCATCATGGCCAATATGTTATATATGCCACTATGTTAAGGTCAGCTTCCCATGTGCATCCAATTGCACATTTGGTGTCCTGGTTCAGTTGCACAAAATGTCATTTAAATAGAGTCATATAGAATAATTAATGTGTGATGCTGCACAAACATGATCTACATTCCATAACAGGATGATGGCCAATATGTTATGTATGCCACCATATTAAGGACAGCTTCCCATAAACTCTAGGGAAAAGTTTCATTGAAGCTATTGACTTATAGTCATCCTTTGGTGGATGATAGTTTCTACCATCTCCTTGGCAATCCATTTTCCCCATGGACAGAGGTGTGTCACCTATCATCCATCTCAAGGGTCTTGTCATGGGCTACAAACTCTAGGTGGTCTCCTCCTAGTTCAATTACTGTAGCAGCAGATGAACATGATATTAGGGTTCAGATTCACACACACACCTTAACAGGGGAAAAAAGCTAATTCTACTGGCTAATTTAGTCATAAGGAATAATTCCACCAGTTCTAATAATGCACATAATTACGCACCTAGGTGGAGTGTTGGGGTACTAATTAGTTAATGTTTGTACAGCATGTAGAAGATGTTACGTACTTAAGTATTACTTTTAACTAAACAGAGTATTCATACTCAATTAATATGCACCATAACTTCAGCTACTGCTATACTCACAGATATTTAATCAACCAAAAGGAATTCCGATGCAGACAGCACTGAGAAAAAAACTAAAAGTCCTGACCTGTACAGGTGGATGTTAGGACCCTAGAGCAAAGTTGTTTTGTGAGCAGCATATATTCATGTTCATAATATTGGACATATTTGCGATAAAAAGTCAAAAGCAGAGATGAAATTCTTCTTTGTTTCTTTTTGAAGGGAGCAATGAGTAATTTTAGTAATTTTCTTTCTGTTGAGAGAAAGTAGTTGAAAACTACAGTTTTCAAACACTATCAGCAATTATTCTGTGTAAAATGCTCACATGGTTGTTTTGCACAGCTAGTAGCATTTCCTGTGTAGAAAATAGTATTTAAAAGCAGAAATAGTATGTCCTGTGCAGAAAATGCTGTTTCATTGCAGAACATGTTGTTTAATATGCAAGTCAACTTTGTGAAAATCTTACACAAAATAAATCCACAATTGCAGAAGCATCTGCAAAGAAAACAGATTTTATGCACAGATTTCAACATAATATTTAAAAAAATCAAATATCCTTTCCATTCCTAATAGAGCACATTATCTCAAAATGGAAGCTGCCTAACACTGAATCAGTCTATTGATCTCCCTGTGTAAAAACTTGAGAATGTTACTTTGTCAAATTATAATTCCCAGAATCTCTCAGGCAACATGATTATAGAAAGAGTAATTTCCCCAAGCTATGATCACACTGTTAGCTGCAGTGACAAGCAGCTGCTTTCCAGCATTTCAGACATGTGGTCTTCCCTAGTTCAACTTTGAAATGGCAGGGAATTTAATGTTGGAAATGTTGTAGGGAAAAACAAAACAAAAAAGAAGCTGAAAATGCTAAGTAAATTCAGCATGCAATAATTTCAAACTATATTTTCTAGAAACAACAATTACTACTACTATTTTGCATAGAATAACTCCTGAACCATGCAAAATTCACACCTGGTTGGCTTTGGCAGAAAACTTTTTGTGTGTGCAGGAAACAGCATTTTCTGGATAGGAAACAATATTTTGCTCAGGAAATGCTGTTTGTTGTGTATTTTTATTTTATTTTCAAAAATTTTCAAGGCCTTTCTCATATGGGAAGAAAAAATACTTGAATGCATACAATGACTTCTGAACTGAGAGCTAGTGTGGCTTAGTGGTTTAAGTGTTGGACTACAACTCTGGAGATCAGGGTTCAATTCCCTTCTTGAACATAAAAACCCACTGGATGACCTTGGGCAAGTCACACTTTCTCCACCTCAGAGGATGTCAGTGGCACACCCCCTCTGAAGAAACTTGCCAAGAGAATCCTATATTAGGTTCACCTTAGGGTAATCATAAGTCAAAATGACTTGGAGGCACACAACAACAACAACAACAACAACAACAACAATTCATGAAATGCAAAATTTATTATCAGTCTAGAATTCTTCTGGTCAGGGTGTCTCACCACTGGAGAACCATGTTTGTTTTTTTAACTTTTTTCTCTTATATTCAAATATTATTTCCATTCCTTTGTGAAACTCCAGTTCTAGATACTGGACATGAACACAGTTCTAGATACATTTCATATCAGACAATTCCTTACAGTAATTTATGTTTGCATAGGACTCCAATGAGATTCTAGCATGTAACCTTTACATTATTTGCTCTTGAACAGTCAGGTGAATCATCCTCCAACTCAAATTACTTCAGAATAAATGGTTTGCATATGGCAATGAAAAGTTAGTGTTGTATTTCTTTTCTAAGACTGATTAAAAGGAAGTGCCTAAATTGAGGGATGGGCATATCACACTGGATTAACTCTTAGAGCTTTCGTTACTAAGTTCAGACACCAACAAACATCCTCAGCATGGTTCTTCCCCACCCCTGCCCCAGCCATTAATGGATGTTTTAATCATGCTGGCATGAAGCTGTTAAATGAAAACTCTCAAGACATTGAATAATGGCTAGAGAGCTCTCATTTGAGGAAACAGATGAGCTGGAACATTTTCAAGGCCAAATTAAGAATTTAGAAAATTGTACTTGCATTTGTTTGCAGCCAATGCATTCATTTTCTTCCCTCTGTCTCATTAATATGTTGCAGCCATTGGTGCAACTCCTATTAATTTAATAGCATCATAGCCATTATATGTTTAACATGGCAACACGGCACCTTTGCTGAACTAAATCTGTCAGTGAACACAATAGGGTGTTTAAAGAATGTAAGCTCAGATGTGCTTTTATTCAATTGCTTTTTCAAGGGGACATGCATTTGCTCATCATATGTAATACAGCTCACATCACACCAGAAAAAATAGAGAGAGAGAAAGAAAAGGAAAGGAAAGCTGTCACTATATCACTGGGCACAACAATAAATTAGAGAAGAGTGTGAATTTAATTTTAGTTCATTTTAAATAAGAATGAACTAAATTGCAAATCTAGTCAGTGAGGAAAGAAGGTAAGGCTGTAGGAAAGAAGGTAAGGCTGTATAAAAATGCAGTTTGATGCCACATTAACTGTCATGGCTCAGTGGTATGGGGAAAAAAAGATTTGTACTCTTTTGAGATATTTAGCCTTCTCTGTCAGATTACTCTAGTGCCAGAACAAATGACAAACCCCAGGATTTCATTGAATGTTGCCATCATAGTTAAAGTGGTATCAAACTGCATTAATTCTGCAGTGTGGCCACAGTTTTAGATTTTCAGAAGAGGAGTTGAAGAAGATGGAAGAGGAAGAAAAGTTTGGGAGACACCAAAACAGACGGATTTGTCTGTTCATGCTGAAGAGTTTGATTGCAATTAAAGCCATGAGTATCCAGTTATGTTTGTGATGGGAATGCAAGATTGTCACCTCTTTTCTTTCTACTTTTTCTGAGAGGTTCCTCATGTTAAAGCTACTATATCATGTCAATAGGATACAATAAGGTCCTTTTCATTTTGGGAAAAGCTGTGCCCAGTGAATTTGGTCAGTTCAAATGGGGCAGAATTTCATTTTGGTTATGGCAAGTTTGTGTATGTGTCCTCTTTACTGACTGTGAACATGGCAGCCATGGTTCAATGATCAAAAGAAAGTAAATGCATCACCAAAGAAAGAACAAAATTAATATTTATTTGGTTCTGGAAGACTTCTGTTCCTATGGTGCTCCACAAGATTATTCCTTATGACTTTTTAAAATATTCGTAGAACTATTGATTGAAATCATTCTGAAGTTTGGGTTAAAGTTTAATCAGTATGTGGCATACATGTTATGGTATTCATGTTTTATTATATATACATGTGCTTCTCTATATCAGCAACTGCAGTTGCTGGGAAATGTGATGTGGAGGGTGAGATTTCATTCATATCCTACTGCTTGGCTTCACATAGAGAGCAAGTTAACAGAATGTTGAGCTAGGCAAACCTTTGGACTGATTTAGTAGAGCTTTTATGGTGTTGTGTGAATTCTAATATTGTGGGAATGAGATAAACTGAAAAGAAAGAAAGTTAGGTGTAGCCTGGCATAGTGTAGCTTTTCTCCCTTTATCATAATACTAGAACCTATATTCGTCATAATCTAGCTAAATAGTAGAAGATAGAGAGTAAATTAAAGGAAGTAATTTTTCATACCATGCATAATTGAACTGTGGAATCATCTACATCACAATATAGTGATGGCCACCAACTCTGATGGCTTTGAAACGACATTAGGCTATTCATGACCATCATAAACCATTAACCATGATAGCTATATCATGTACCAAAGATAGTATTTGTCTGTCTACCAGTAGCTGTGGAACATGGGTGTGAGAGAGTTGTTATACTCATGTCATGTTTGGAAACTTCCAATAGAATCTGGTTGTCTATCATTTGAACAGAATGCAGGGATCCTTTCACATTACTTATAGAAATGTGAGTCCACTTCGGTTGCCATGGTACCCTTTTACACTGTATTAGAATAGTACTATGTTTCAACATAGTTGCATGCTATGGAATCCCGAGATCTGTAGTTTGGTGAAGCACTCAAGCTCTTTGCCTGAGAATTCTAAATGCCTGCATCTAAATTGCAGATCCCAGGGTTCAATATGATGGAGTCTATCAGTCAAAATGGCATTATTGTATTACTAGTAGTATAGTAGGGACCCCCATTCCACGCTATCAAATCCTGGGATCTGCAGTTTAGAAGCAGATATTTTGAATGATCATTCAGAGAACTCTTGTGCTTCACCAAACTACAAACCCTAAAATCCATTGCTATACTTGTGTAGTGAGAAAGGGCCTGGCTAGTTAGTTCTTTGATATGGCTCACCAGGGCTTTTCTCATGGCCTTATGTTCTTAATATAGCAGCAAACTGTTAAGTTGGAAATGAACAATGGAGCAACAGAGACCACATAATGGAATGGATGAATTCACAAACAAGAGCAGGCAATCTGGACAGAAATTTGGATAAGGAGAAATTTGGAAGCATCCCTAAGAAAATATCAGAAGCAAATTATACATGTAACATGACTGAATCACTTTGGGAGTCAGTAATTGTCAGAACATGAGAATAAAAATACAGTAAATAAAATAAATACAGAGTTTAGCACTTGACATAATCTTCAACATGTTTTTTGAGAAGGAAAATACAGGAGGGCTTATTCCCGGTTAAATGTGCACAGGATTGTAGCCTGTATCTCTATATATTTAAGACATGCAGTTAAACCCCAAATCCTATAAATTAAATTTAGCAAATGTCATACAGGTGGGGGGGGGGAACACCCTAGAGTATCCTGTAAGACCTCTGGTCTATGGTTCCTAAATTAAAAAAAGAGGATTTTAGAGCTTATTTCTGTAAGATTCCTTTTTTCTTCCTATTATATCAAGGTTTTGAAATGATCTCTTGCTGCCTTAGCTAAGTATCTGACTCAGAAAGAAATGGGCAAGCTCACAGGAGATTCTAAAGCAACAAGTGAAAGAGAGGCCACAGGCTAGAACATACATACACATATACAGAGAGCGAGAGAAAGAGAGAACACAACTGTTTGGAAATTAAGACTAAATATTATTTTAGCTAAAGGGCTTGTTCCTCAAGAGGATTGTTCTTTCTCATTTACTTAAGGAGACAAGATAAGGGCCATTTAATCCAGGTTACTTGTCTCTAGTCAGAAACTACATGCAGTGCATAGTAGAAGGTGAGCCCTGGTACCACAATGAGAAAAATAGGAAACTAACAAAGTAAAACTGTAAAACTTCTGAAGGGTCTTTGCAAGATGCAACAAGAAATCAATGAAATCTTGCAAATTGTAGAAATCTGCTGCTCCCCTAACTGAGGAGATTTGCCACAGTCCTTACCTCTTGCACAGAGCCAAGCCCCCAAAACTGGAGAATTGACTCTTGTCTATTGTCTTTTGTGATCCTTTCTCTCATACCTGGAGATGGCTCACCAAAAGTGGACATCCATGGTCAGATCTGGGAACCTTAGTGCACACTATTGCTTGCTGGCACAGGAAAATTGGCATCAACTTGCTGACCACTAAGATTACATCCATTGAGTCCTGAAGACAAGGGGAATGATGTGGCCTGGCTTGCTTTATTATATTGGATCCTAAAGAGGTAGACATAAGGGGCATGGGGTGAGAGTGGATGGAATAGTGAGCAAGGGATAGAGAAGGTATCTCTTGCTCAGACAAAGAGGCTTTGTATTGTTGTGAAAAATGGACAGTAGAAAAACCTAATAGGAAGAAAACCCACTCATGTGAAAGGTGGAGAATTTTGTGGATATCGTGGACTGCCAAAAAAAACAAAAACAAATCATGTCCGAACTCTCCTAGAAGCCAAGATGACTAATGTGAAATTGTCGTACTTTGGATATATCATGAGAAGATGTGACTCACTTAAAAATATTCTTAGTAAAATATTATAAAAAGAAGAAGGTCATGCTTCATCTCTGTGTCTACAAGACCTTAGTAGGGCTGTTGATAATATGGTGACTTGGAGGTCTCTCATTCATAGGATTGCCATACACTGAAATCAATTTGATAGCAGCTAACAACAATGTAAGATAGATATAGGATTTTGTGGGTTTTATCCTAAAGCAACATTTACTATCTAAATATTTGCAAGCAATGCATGAGTATTTATGTCTCATCACTTGAAGTCTGGAAACACACAAAAAAGGAGCTTGATGCATTCAAAGTTATGATATTGCACTTGTGTGCGGAAATCTTATTTTTGTGCTTGCTTTTTCCATTCAAATGGAAGCACTTCACTTAC